AGGGGTTTAGGGGTTTAGGGTCTGTGTACTAGGGTGTTGGGGTATTATAGTAGAGATGAGGTCCCTTCTGGAGAGGCGCCTGCGATAGGGTCTGTTTTTTTGAGTACTGTGTGTTGGTGGGGTTTAGGGTTTAGGGTTTAGGGTTTAGGGTCCATGTACCCAAATAGTAGAACATTGGCCTTAATGTAGTCCCTATTTGGGTACTTTAGGGCTAATGTTCTACTATTTGGGCACATGGACCGTTAGGGAAAGTTATGGTATGTGTGCATGCTGTTGCTCGCAAAGGTGGAACATATGGTAGGCACGAAGATGAGTTTTCCAAAACCCAGGCCCCTTGACAGTCCCCTCTGTTTTCCTAACGCCGAAAGCCTATGAACCCTAGAGTCGAAAACCCTAAACCCTCAACCCCAAACCCCTAATCCCTGATCCCCTAAACCCCAAACCCCTACACCCTGAACCCCTAAACCCTAAACCCTAAACCCCAAACCCCTAAACCCCTAACCCCTACACCCCTTAACCCTAAACCCCAAAGTCCTAAACCCCAAACCCCTAAACCCTTAACCCCAAACCCCTAATCCCTAAACCCCTAACCCCCAAACCCCGTATAAACCCTAAACCCCTTAACCCCAAACCCCTAACCCCCTTGGTTTAGGGGTTAGGGTTCCCTTACCCTAAGGGTCCATGTACCCAAATAGTAGATACTTTGGCCTTAGTGTAATCCCTATATAGGTACTTTAGGGCCAATGTATATACTATTATTTGGGTACATGGACCCACAGGGAGAACGAAAAAGAATTAAATTAAGGAATATACCTTAAATTATAGTAGGATCCCTAATATGATTTAAGGTATATTCCTTAATTAAGGGATATTGGAGTCTCTGGGGAATGTAAGGGCCCCAGAGCAGGCCGACGCTGAACGGCGCCGGGCAGACGCTGCCCGGAAGGAGCGCGAGGAAGCGGAGGAGAAGCGGCCGCCTGCCTCGAGCGTTCGGGTTTTAGGGGTTTAGGGTTTATAAGGGGTGTAGGGTTTAGGGTTGAGGGTTTAGAGTTTAGGGTTTAGGGTTTGGGGTTTAGGGTTTAGGGGGTTGGGGTTTAGGGTTTATAAGGGGTTTGGGGTTTAGGGTGTAGGGTTTAGGGTTTGGGGTTTAGGGGTTTAGGGTTTTAGAGGATTCAGAACTTAGAGTCTTAGAGTTGCTATAACGTTATAGCAATGCCGTAAAAAAAACAAAACAGAGAAACTACTAACAAAAGCAACAACAACATAATAATTGTAGACTCACCATGAAGCTTATCGCGCGTAACCCGAGCCCCTGTCAACGCCCAAGTCCTGCAAACCTCAGGAAGTCGCAAAAGTCACGAAAAAGCTCGAACCCTAAGGGTCCTTGCACCCAAATAGGATATACTTTGGCCTTAATGTAGTCCCTATATAGGTACTTTGGGGCCAAAGTATCTACTATTTGGGCACATGGACCCTTAAGGGGAAGGCATCCGTATCAAGAGCGGATATCATAGTAGCCGGAAGGATCAGACCAGGAGCCAGGGATCCGGGGCATTCTATAGGTTTAGGGTTTAGTTTTAGGGTTTAGGGTTTAGGGTTTTAGGGTTTAGGAATTTAGGGTTTAGGGTTTAGGATTGAGGGTTTAGGGTAAGACCTCCATCGCCTTATTATGTGTAGCCTCTGCCTGAGTCAAAAGTGGTTCGGGGGTGCGAAATAATCGCCATTGCTCGCAACTGGATCCCTAATCTAAGTCTGTCTGTGTGTGTGTGTGTCTTTGGCTCTCTCTCTTTCTCACCTTCTGCACATAAAGTAAGTATTTCTGTGTATGTACATATAAATACACAGTCACACTATTATATAGCTTCCAGAACATCCTGCATAAAACTGTTCACAAAGAACAAGCAAACCAAAACATGTGCATGCATATATACATAAGATGTATACACATGTATAGAGAGAGATAGAGAGAGACAGTGAGTGAGATGTATGTAGAGATATATATATATATATATAGATATGTATACATATGCAAACAGACAGGGGTTTAGGCAGGCAGGCAGGTGGGCAGGCAGGCAGGCGGGTAGGTAGATAGGCAGAAAGAAAGACAGACAGACCATTAAGAGATACGTAGGTGGATAGGTAGATAGGTAGACGGACTGAGGTGTGTTGACTTGCGCTTCTCTCTCTCTCTCTCTCTCCCTCTCTCTCTTTCTCTCTCTCTCTATATATATATATGTATTTTTCTGACCATATATATATATATAATCTTATGGTTTAGGCTTAGGGCTTATACATCATGTATACATATAACATACATGAGAGCTGAAAAATTCGACTAGCCCCGAGAGCCGTGGGTTGAGCACACAGTGTCTAGGACATTTTCAGGTGGGTAGTTATCGTTATAGGAGCCTTATAGAAGGTCTATACCTTATAGAAGCCTTGTAGAAGCCCTATAGACCCTAAACTCCCCACCTGTAGTTAGTTTCCTTAACCCTAAACCCTAAACCCTAAACCCTAAGGGATCCCTTAAAGGCACCCTAAACTCCCCACCTGTATATTCATTTAATTGTGATGCCGAGGCGAGAGGAGATGAGACGCCTCGAGGAGGAAGCTGCAAAACGACAAGCAGAACAGGCCGATCCTAAGAGAAACTCCTGCAATCCTAGATCGTAAACTATAGGGTTTACAGATCCTAGATCGTAAACTATAGGGTTTACGGATCCAGTACGAATACTCAACCCTAAACCCTACACCCCTAATCAGCTTACTGCCCCGATGAAGGTGACTATTCCAATTCATCAGGCAAATGCGAGCAGCTAGTAGGCCCTTTCGACCGTACCTGCGTAGGATTGGAAAGAGGGCCCAAAGACAATAACCGGTTATTTTCGACGGATTGTTATTGCCTCCTAGGGTGTTTTTAGTCTGTAGTGTAGTTGCTAAGATGAAGACTCAGACGGATGGCTCTAGCGAAAAGCTTCGTGTGGCACAGTGGCTTATGAAGCATATGCACACGCCATCGAGCAGTCGAATGCAGGAATTTAAGCTTTGCCAAGGAAACAATTGTATGAAGACGCCCCGTGCCCTACACCATCTTACACCCCAATGACGCTATCCCTGCCCTTAAATGAGCCACACTCGCTGAATCAAGTCATATTGGACCTCTTCCTCATCGAGCCTGTACAGAGCCTTGAAAAGTAATGCTGAAGGTCCTACTACCAGTTGCCCAGCAACTCTGACCTCAAAGTGCACATATATATATATATATATGAACCCCTTCAATTCCTATACAAGTGTAGACTGCATCGTGTCATGGACTCTTCGGGCTAACGGCTACCCAGATCCTCCAATACCCTTTAATTGCGGAAGGTACCTTAAATCATATCGGGGATCCCATTCTAATTTAAGGTATATGTCGGATACTGTCCCCCACTCGGTAACAGTTGAATAATACTTATAACAAAGCCCTATAGGGCCCTTAATAATAACCTGATTACAGACTGTCACTGTAGGGGGGGCAGTACTCCACGTATGTGCCTAAATTAAGGGATATTGGAAGACCCAGAGACTCCAATATCCCTTAAATAAGGAATATACCTTAAATTATAGTTAAAGGATTCCTAATATGATTTAA